CAGAGAGGGAAGGCCAAAGAGATAAGGGGGAAGGCCAGAGAGATAAGGAAGATAAGGGAAGACCAGAGAGATAAGGAAGGCCAGAGAGATAAGGGAAGGCCAGAGAGATAAGGGAAGGCCAGAGAGATAAGGGAAGACCAGAGAGAGAGATAAGGGGAAGACCAGAGAGATAAGGGAAGGCCAGAGAGATAAGGGAGGCCAGTGAGATAAGGGAAAGGGAAGACCAGAGAGATAAGAAGGCCAGAGACAAGGGAATGCCAGAGATAAAGGAAAGGAAGGACCAGAGAGATAAGGGAGGCCAGAGATAAGGAAGGCCAGAGAAATAAGGAAAGGGAAGACCAGAGAGATAAGGAAGGCCAGAGAGATAAGGAAGGCCAGAGAGAAGGGAACGGGAAGACCAGAGAGATAAGGGAAGGCCAGAGAGATAAGGAGAAAGGCCAGAGAGATAAGGGAAGGCCAGAGATAAATGGGCCAAAGGCCAGAGAGATAAGGGAAGGAAGGCCAGAGAGATAAAGGGAAGGCCAGAGAGAAAAGGAAGGCCAGAGATAAGGGAAGGCCAGAGAGATAAGGAAAGGGAAGGCCAGAGAGATAAGGGAAGGCCAGAGAGATAAGGGAAATTAAAGACCAGAGAGAAAGGGAAGGCCAGAAGGGAAGGCCAAGAGATAAGGAAAGGGAAGACCAGAGAGATAAGGAAGGCCAGAGAGAAGGGAAGGCCAGAGAGACAAGAAAAGGGAAGACCAGAGACAAGGGAAGGCCAGAGAGATAAGGAAGGCCAGAGAGAGATAAGGGAAAGGGAAGACCAGAGAGATAAGGGAAGGCCAGAGAGATAAGGGAGAGATATGAAAGGGAAGACAGAGAGATAAGGAAAGGGAAGACCAGAGAGATAAGGGAAGGCCAGAGAGATAAGGGAAACCAGAGAGATAAGGGAAGACCAGAGAATGAGGGAAGGGAAAAGAGATATGAAGGAAAGGGAAGGCCAGAGAGATAAGGAAGGCCAGAGAGAGAAGGGAAGGCCAGAGAGGTAAGGGAAGGCCAGAGAGATAAGGGAAGAGAGAGAGAAGGGAAAGGAAGACCAGAGAGATAAGGGAAGGCCAGAGAGATAAGGAAAGGAGAGATAAAGCCAGAGAGATAAGGGAAGGCCAGAGAGATAAGGGAAGGCCAGAGAGATAAGGGAAGGAGCCAAGGCCAGAGAGATAGGGAAAACCAGAGAGATAAGGGAAGGCCAGAGATAGAGAAAGGGAAGGCCAGAGAGATAAGGGAAAGAGAGATAAGGGACCAGAGAGGGAAAGGAAGGCCAGAGAGATAAGGAAAAAGGAAGGCCAGAGATAAGGGAAGGCCAGAGAGATAAGGGAAAGCCAGAGAGATAAGGGAAAGGCCAGAGAGATAAGGAAGGCCAGAGAGATAAGGAAGGCCAGAGATATAAGGGAAAGGGAAGACCAGGGAAGAGATAAGGAAGGAAGACCAGAGAGATAAGGGAAGGCCAGAGAAATAAGGAAGGCCAGAGAGATAAGGAAAGGGAAGACCAGAGAGATAAGGGAAGGCACAGAGAGATAAGGGAAGACCAGAGAGATAAGGAAGGCCAGAGAGATAAGGAAAGGGAAGACCAGAGAGATAAGGGAAGGCCAGAGAGGAAGGCCAGAGAGATAAGGGAACCAGAGAGATAAGGAAGACCAGAGAGAAGGGAAGGCTAGAGAGAGAAGGGGAAGGCGAGAGAGATAAGGGAAGGCCAAAGAGATAAGGGAAAGGGAAGAGAGAGAGAGAAGGGAAAGGAAGGAGAGATAAGGGAAGGCCAGAGAGATAAGGAAGGCCAGAGAGATAAGGAAAGAGAGATAAGGGAAGGCCAGAGAGATAAGGGAAAGGAAACCAGAGAGATAAGGGAAGAGAGACAAGGAAAGGGAGAGATAAAGGGAAGACCAAAGAGATAAGGAAAAAAGAGAGAAGGCCAGAGAGAGAGAAAGGGAAGGCCAGAGATATAAGGGAAGGCCAGAGAGATAAGGAAAGGGAAGGCCAAAGAGATAAGGAAGGCCAGAGAGGATAAGGAAGACCAGAGAGATAAGGAAAGGCCAGAGAGAAGGAATTAAGGGAAGGCCAGAGAGATAAGGGAAGGCCAGAGAGATAAGGAAGGCCAGTGAGATAAGGGAAGGCCAGAGAGATAAAGGCCAGAGAGATAAGGGAAGGCCAGAGAGATAAGGAAGACCAGAGAGAAGGGAAAGGAGATAAGGGAAGGGGAAGAGAGATAAGGGAAAGGGAAGACCAGAGAGATAAGGAAGGCCAAAGAGAAGGCAGATAAGGAAGGCCAAAGAGATAAGGGAAGACCAAAGAGATAAGGGACCAGAGAGATAAGGGAAGGCCAGAGAGATAAGGGAAGACCAGAGAGATAGGGAAGGCAGAGATAAGGGAAGGCCAGGGAAGAGATAAGGATGTGAGAGAGATGGGAAGGAGAAACAGAGGAAGACCAAAGATATAAGGGAAGGCCAAGAAACAGAGGAAGGCCAAAGATAAGAAAAGGGGGAAGGCCAGGGAAGACTAGAGGGAAGGGAAAGAGATAAAAGGGAAGGCCAAAGAGATAAGGGAAGGCTAGATAGATAAGGGAAGGCCAGAGAGATAAGGGAAGACCAGAGAGATAAGGGAAGGCCAAAGAGATAAGGGAAGGCCAGAGAGATAAGGGAAGGCCAGAGAGATAAGGGAATGCCAGAGAGATAAGGGAATTGGAAGACCAGAGAGATAAGGGAAGGCCAGAGAGATAAGGGAAGACCAGAGAGATAAGGGAAGCCTAGAGAGATAAGGGAAAGGGAAGGCCAGAGAGATAAGGGAAGGCCAGAGTGATAAGGGAAGGCCAAAGAGATAAGGGAAAGGGAAGGCCAGAGAGATAAGGGAAGGCCAGAGAGATAAGGGAAGGCCAAAGAGATAAGGGAAGACCAGAGAGATAAGGGAAGGCCAAAGAGATAAGGGAAGGCCAGAGAGATAAGGGATGGCCAGAGAGATAAGGGAAGGCAGCGTACCTGACGTGCTTGTGTGAATAGATGGCGGAATGTGAGTAAGCCGGCAAAGGGAGAAACACTGCTAAGTGCAACAAGGGTAAGGATGTTATGGAGAGCCATGATCGCCTATGTTACGAATGGATGCGGCGCATCGGAGAAGTTTGTATCGTAGTGTTTATTGTGCGAAAATAATTACGTTATCTGTTTTGGATGTGCGGGTGGTGTGATGGATAACGGGTCGGAATGAGAAATCAGAGAGCCGAGTTCGAATTTCAGTGGAATTCGTTATATTTACTTACGTGTAAATATACCTGGGAAAAGTATGAGTCCACCGCCCCCCCCATCAGTTATGGGTTAATTAGTATTACTTGTATCAGTAAATCATTATTATTGCTCCATAATTGCAATCACTTACGCACTATTACCCTTGGGAAAGGTATGACTCCATCTCTTCCCCTCCCAGCTATGTGTAAATAGCAGGACAGACTGGGCCCTAAAGCCTTGGTTGGCAACCAGTCTACGGCAGAAAGTAACGACAGTTTCGTGTAGGGATATATTTTGCCTAGTCAGTCATGAATCGAAAAGCGACATGATCGTCCAAGCATGCATCGTGCATGGCACAGAAGGAAGGAAGGAAGGAAGGAAGGAAGGAAGGAAGGAGGGAAGGAAGGAATGAGGGAAGTAAGGGAGAGAAGGAAGGAAGGAAGGAAGGAACGAAGGAAGGGAGGAGGAGGAGGAAGAAGGAGAGAGGGAAGGAAGGAGAGAAGGAAGGAAGGAAGGAAGGAAGGAAGGAAGGAAGGAAGGGAGGAGGGAAGGAAGAGAGGAAGGAAGGAAGGAGAAAGGAAGGAAGGAAGAAAGGAAGGAAGGAAGGAAGGGAGGGAGGAGGGAAGGAAGGAAGGAAGGTAGGGAGGGAGGGAGGAAGGAAGGAAGGTAGGGAGGGAGAGAGGGAGGAAGGGAGGAAAGGAGGTATTTTTAATTAAGAACAACGGCTGTAATTTTAGGCCATTTGCGAAGTAATACCCAACTGGTTTCCCATACATAAAATCCTATACTAAAGTAGATGAAGTTAAGTAAAAATCTTGAATACAGTTTCAAAACACCAAGCTACAGGGTGCGATGGATGAATTGTCGTCTAAATTACGCAAAAATGAAAATAACATTGACATTCATTTTAGCAGATATATTTACCAAAATTACACAAAAATATATTGAAATACTAAAGAGTAAATTTATTAAATAAAATCGCTATTGGCTTCAACCACGGCCTCCAGACGATTTCGGAATCTCCTGCAACTCTTCTGGACGGTCTCACTGTTTAAGTTGGTGAATGCTGTCATAATCCTTGCCTTCAGTTCATATTTGGTTTTACAAGGAGTTTTGTTGTTCTCTCGCTCAACTGCGACCCACACATAATAATTAAGGAGATTGAAGTCTGTGGAGTTAGGTTTCCAGATGTAAGGGGTGATATGGTCGCAGAAATTGTCTGACAGCCATGAGTGGGTTCTTCTGTTAGTGTGACATGGTGCAGATTTCTGTAGCCAGGCATAAGGTCTTCCAGCAGCCACCCTCTTCACCCAGGGCAGTACTACCTCTATGGTTATAGACCTGATTGACTTGGGGGATTGTTTTCAATCATGACCTGGATCACACCAACACATCCAGGAGTTCTTTTCTTATCCGAACGATCAGAGTGAGACTTCCGAGCTGACGTACCTTCGTAATCACCATTAAACTCATCCAACTCTTTCCAGATCCTCTGCACTGTTCTCAGATTGACACTCAAACACTCTGAAATATTCGTATTGGAATTTCTGGCGTGAATGCCAAGCAGTAGAGTATGCCTTTTCCAAATTTGTGGCCAAGTAAATTACGTCATGGTGCTCTTTTCCTCACAGACAGTGCCTAACTGACTCTACTATGCTGTGTAGTCGACAAAATCAAAAACAAACAACGCGCATGCGCGAAATTAAATATAAAATGGCGACGATTTACCCACTGTACCCTGTATATAATTAGGCATATGGCTATATCACGTTGAAACACCGGTACTTATATGATCACCGAAATTAAGCAAGGTCGCGTCTAGTCAGTACCTAGATGGGTGACCGATTGTGAATACCAGGTTCTGTAAGCTTGAATGTGCTGGTTGTATAATGGATAATGGCTCGGAATTGGAAGTCGGAGAACTGAGTTCCAATTCCAGTTGGGATCCGTTATATCCACTTACGCGAAAATACCCCTGGGAAAGGTATGAATCCATTGCTTCTCTACACCTGTTATAGGTTAATCAGTAGGACTTGTATCAGTAAATCATTATTATCGCTCGATAATTTCTTACAATCTAAAAACACTTTCTGGTTTTAAATAAGCTACAAAAAGTTAAGAAGCCGCAACAAAATCAAAAACAGATATTTTTTTTTATCTTGACTTGTTTTGTAGTATTTCTACTGGGTTCTAAGCAATGAAACTAACAATACATAAAGGAATTTCTACATTTTGCAAAAATTACAGCCGATATTGTAAGCTAATAAGCACAGAAACAAATTTCAAAAGAAACAAATTTTCAGCACCATTGACAAAATGATTACAAACTTAAAAGTATCGGCAACAATGTCTACGACTTTATTCTTAATTTTAACCTATTTACCCGAAGTAAGGCGATAATGCTACTAAGATGCAACGATCTACTGGTTGCGAAAGGGAATGAAAAATACTTTAAAAGGAACCGAGAACCCAATCTTAAACAGGAAACAACGGTAAAACCTCTATTACTGTTAAAAAGCCCGAGGAGGAGTATGAACCAGGCGATATATATATATATATATATATATATATATATATATTAGCAGCATGTTTCCATTAAGACATGTCTTACTGAATAATTTAGATAAGTTTTGTCTACTTATTTTCAATAAGTTCCTATTTAGTTTATGTTTATTATTTTCATGAAAAAGTATAGGTGTCTTTCCAACAAGAATTTTTCAAAATTGCTGTTGTTAATGTTGTGATATGTTTGATGCATCATTCAAATGAAAGCTCAACCGTCGAGACAATGTAAAGCTAATGTCGAAAGTACTCGCAATAAATGAATATGTATCAACATGGTAATTTTCACTCTTCCTTTAATAAGGATACTAAGAAGCTTGTCGGTGAATATGAGGGGATCCTATTGCCGAGTTCGAATCCATTACATTCACTTACGTGCTAATACACTTGGGAACTGTATGAATCCTCTTCTTCTCCCTAAATAGGGTAAATAGCAGGACAGACAGGGTTCTATAGATTTGGACGGCAACTCTTATAGAAGGACAAACCTATTCAAAACCTATGCAGTGCCGTTTGGGGACCTTGAGGCACGTAGTGCACAAGGTCTCCAAACATATTCGACCCTTCAAAAAGTGTGGATGCTTCTGCACAAAACCTTCACCATCACATGTGCTGGTGTCTGGATGTCGGTTCCTAGGAAGTGAGCTGCTTAACTCGCATACGTCGAATATATATATATATATATATATATATATATATATATTTAATTAATTCATCAAGTCTGATAGAAACCTCAACAGAATGCAGAAAGCACTGGAAAGCCGTTTCGTCCTATATTTGGGACTCATCAGCAGTGCTCATCCACTACCGAGAATTGAAACCCTGACAGTTAGGTTGTCAAGCGAAAATCATACCAACTGTTCCAAATGGGCCTCGGTGACGCAGAGATTCCAAATCAGACTCAACTTATATATTGTGATGATTGCGCCTCTGAATGTTGACTTCAATGTTCACTTTTATCTTTGCATACGCTCTATCTCCGATATTGAGCACTTTAGCCCATAAATATAGCACACTTTGAAACTATATTTCTGCATATATATATATATATATATAATATGTGTGTGACTCCTTTTCCCAAAATATATTATATATTTAAAATATATAATACATAAGGCTAAAACAATTCAAATATTACATGAAAAATTCAGCATCATTTACTCACTTTCGTTCATTTCGTTATCAAATCTTCCATAATCATTCAGTTAGCCTGCATATTTTGAAAAACTAACATTTTACTTTAAGGTGCCTTACATTTATCCTTACATGATAAATTCCATCAGAGGACAAAGCGCCTCGGCTAAGATGAGTTTTCCTTTCATCTTGAAATATATATATATATATATATATATATATATATATATATATATATATATATATATATATATATATATATATATAGTTAATTAATTTGTAAATTGTACAAGGCTAATGTAGTGGAAGGCACAATGAAAATAAAACTGACGACACTATCAATTTACTACGTGTGACGATTTTATTAAGCATTTGTTTATAGTAGTGTTTCTAAACCATATTTTACGTTGGGGCTCCCTTGAAGAATAACTGAATACTTGGGGTGCACTTTTTAATGAAGAATATTTGGTCATAAATTTTGAAAATAGGAAAATAATAAAGAAGTCTCCTGAAATAAACATTTATTTTTAAGACATTACATTGTAAATTTTTTACATGCTTGTGTGAAACAAGTACTTTTTTTAATATAAAAACCTTTTTAAATGTAAAAACATTACTCTTCTGTTAATTTGGGACGCACCTGGCTACCTTTCAGGGTGCATTAGTGTGTCCGGGCGCACCAGATGGAAAACGCTGGTCTATAGCTTGCAACATATCTCTCTCTCTCTCTCTCTCTCTCTCTCTCTATATATATATATAGCCCATAAATATATTCTCAGGCCTCTCTGACTCTCTCTCTTTCTTTCTTTCTTTCTTTCTTTCTTTCTTTCTTTCTTTCTTTGTCTGTCTGTTTGTCTCTCTCTCTCTCCTAACACGGCCACAATGTACTGACCGTATTTGAAAATTAAGAATATATATGCTCTAAGTAACTTTTATACTCAAGGTGGCCACTGAAAGACTGAATGGTTTAAAACAAAAATAACTTTTACAAATGTATAATTATCTCGGGGTAATAAAGTTTGGACTATTTGAATCTTGTATGGAAAGATTTTTGAATTCAATAGAAGCTGATGGATCCTCAATGACAATCTGCCGTACAGCTTCCACCACTGCATCAATGTGCACAGTGCGCTTAGGACCTCTTCCCGGAAGATCACCGTCTGATCCAGTTCTTTCAAACCGAGCGATTAGGTTGCAAATCATGTTATCGCTAGGAAATACTCTGACATTAAAATGTTGCCGGCATTTTCTCTGAGTTTGAATAATTGATCTTTCATTGGAATAAAAAACTCAATGAATTTTACTCATTGATGGACATCGTACGTCGCCATTTTAATCTCCAAGGAATGCTCTATAACCTGCAAAAAATAAAATAAAAAAATAAAATAAAATAAAATAAAAAGATTGAAAACGACCAAGTTATGACTTTTTCAAACCCTTCAATTTTTCAGTGGACATCCTATATCTACAACAGCAATTTATTTTCATGTTTTTATTAATATATTTATTAATAAAAACATGACATAAAAACAAAATATTTATTAATATTTTTATTTATTGGACAATCATTTCTATTACTTGCGAAAAGGGACTATTTGCTCGGATTAAAAACAATATCCTCTTGAGAGGGGGACAAGCGTACAGCTATACGATTTAACCTTGCGTTAGTCAGCTCGGATTTCCGAAAATGGATAGTTCTCTGGCGTCTGCCTCCCACGACAACTGAGCTACAACTGTTCTAAGCCGCGTGCTACACATCGTCACTGAGTCAGAAACTAGAAATTACGAGTCCTTTAAAAACTTGGGCGTAACAAAACACCCCATGTGTATAACGCCCGGTTAATTAAGCCTGAGAATTTCCAAGTAGAATCTATCATACCGTGTTGAGATCATCTCTTCTGTCAATGGTCCAAGTTTCTTTATTTTTAAATGCCGCGACCAATCAGGACGTGGGTAGTCATGGCTCTCCACAATTTCATCTCCATCATAGAACTAAGCAATTTTTCCTTAACTATCCATCTTAGTCTGTGTCTTGCATTTCATTTATCCAAGCACGTTAGGTAGATTACTTCTGCTTCCCCTTTGCTCCTCTTGCCTTCAATATGTCCTGTGAGTGTCAAATTCTCCAAGCCGTCTTTCATTTTTCTTAAGGTTCCAAGTAATTTCAACTGTTTCCTCCCTTAAAACATCCTCCTTACTCACAGCATTCATCTGTAGACCTACATCTCTGTTGTCTGATGTCTCCTCTTCATTTGTGCGCAATTTATCAAGCATTCACTGCCATATAGGAGGATTGATATTACATAACAATTTCGCAATAGTTTCTTTCTTTTCGGTTTCTTAATAGTTTGCTTAGCGTTTGTAAGACATTTTTCGCTGTTCCAATGCACCTTCGGATTTCATGATGAAGTCAGTTACATTCTCAATAAAATGGAGAAATTATACTTTAGGTTGAGGCATCTATCTATCTATCTATCTATCTATCTATCTATCTATCTTCTATCTTTTCTATTTACATTTTCCCATTTGCTATCCCATCTATCTATCTATCTATCTATATTTTTTCTGTCTATTTGTATATCCCAGGCTACTATCTGTTTATCTATTTTATTCTCTCTGCTTTTCTCTCTTGATCTTTCGTTTTTCTTTCTCTCTTCACGTTCTCTCTCTTCTTCCTATCGTTACTTCTCTCTAAGATTTTAATTTCTCTTCCTCTCTATCCTCCTACCTTTCTTCTTTTCTCTATCCACACTCTCCCTTCCTCCTCCTTTTGATATTATTGCTCTTCTTCATTTCATTTCCATTGTCTTTTTCCTCTCTTTCTTTCTTCATCTGATTTCTTTTCTCTCTTTCTCTTTATTCACAATGTCTTCTTTCTTTCTTCTTCCTCTATTTCCCCATTCTCTCCCTTTCTCTCTCGTTTTGATTATTCCCATTGAAAATGACACGCCTTTCGTCATGGTCGTCGCAGAGAGCTTGGCTAGTCTGGTGGCTAATGTTCTTAATAAAGAATAGGAAGGTCACAAAGATTAAAACATAAGAATTCAAATCCTTACACTCTCTCCAAACCCCGCCAATTTCCTGCATCATATCATTTTTTTCATCCTGTTGAAGTTGACAATGGCCTTATGTCACATTTTGTTTGAACTTCCAAAATAAAGGTCATCAGTCA